CAGCTTTTACGCAGCTGTCAGACCTTAAAGTAGAACATATCTGAGGTTTGGAAATGTGGTCATTGGGTCAAAGCTTTGTTGAGTGTAGCAGTGTTGAGGTAAACCATCTCCATGGTTGTTTCTCGGCAGGAGAAAACATTGTTTTCTGAGCAAATGTATGAAAAAAATATGGGGAATTGAATTATTCTACAAAAAAAAAAGGAAAACTACTAAAAGTTTGATACATAAGAAATACTTCATTACATCCATCTGATCCATGGAGAGGAAGCACAGTCTGCCATCCAGGAGTTCATGTAGTTCATCTTGAGGTTTAAGAGACATTACTTTAAGGTATATGAATGTAACTCTATAGCAGAAGTTCAGTCAGGAAGACAACAGTATATATTCTGCATGCTTGTTTTATTGTTCATTCTCATACTGTGTGCTCACTCGTTTTCTAATAATCATCACCTGCTCACTTCAGTCTCACTTGTTGTAAGCTTATCATTCTGCTGCTGTCTTTTTAAAATATGGATTTCACAGTTGCGTCACCTTCTTCATCCCATCAGCCTCAGATCACAGCATCAGCCATCGTCCAGGTCAACCCCAGTCTTCACAGTTGTTCAGCCTCTTCCTCCCTTCATCCCTTCATCCCTAAGACGATACCTTCAGCTGCTTTGGTCAACCCCCATTTTTCAGTTAAATTCATCTCATCAGTATCAGACGACATCACCCGCTAACACCTTGACCCCCAGTGTCTGGACTCCACGGGGGGTAGATCTTCCTGCCGCTCATGCAGACTTATTCAATCGCCCTGTACAGTTCTAGAACCAAAGATTATCTCACAGTAATTAAATATCACATACGTAAAATACATTTTTAATCTTTGATGCATTTACTGTTCTCTCCCGATTGAACTGAATCTATTTAGTAAATGATGAACACATCATCCACTATTGCAAGAACTGTGTAATCTTTCCCGGTTAAATGAGCAATATGTAAGAAATAAAGTGAGTGAAATAATGAAGTGACCTTACTATATGATCAGACATTCAGGAAACATGCTATGTTGAAGTGCTGGCTTCTCTGACAACAATGCAGCAACCAGTATGTCCTCCTTCTAACTTTACATTCTGCTCCTGAATGCTCTGGATTTGTTTGGACCAGAGAAGGTAGGCGCTTTTAAGGCGGCGACCCCCACGCACGCGCACGCGGCAAGAGAAGTGGTTCAGATAGAAGTGATTGTACCCGACCTAAAAAGCCTCTGCATGTTTCTAATAAGCTCCACGAGCAGAAACGTGTTCAAACTAGGATCAATATTGGAGATGCTTTTGAAAAAATGGAGAGAGGTTAGAACACAGAAAGGTTTACAGACCCATGCAGAGCTGGATAAACACTGAAGCTTCAGAGTCCACCACATGGTGACCTGAGTGAGCATCGAGGAGAGGGGGGGGGGGGAGACAGCTCTCTACAATGTTTTGTATTTGGACTGCAGTACCATTTTAAAACTAGGTGTCAGAGTTACATATTGCTCCTTTAATCTTATTTTATACTTTGGTGTTTTCATTTATGACAGCTACGTGGTAAAATAATTTCTTCAGTTTATTTTAAATCAAAGATCTGGAATTGGATCTTCATGAGTCTTTCGGGCTTGATGTGCCGTCTAATTTTAGGCTGAAAATCCTCATGTTGCTTTTTATTGTGTCGTTAAGCGCAATAGTGCACTCTATTGTGTTATTTAGATTGGATTTGTCCTTTCTCTCACTCAACCACATTTGAAATCGTTAAACAAGCAAGCAATAAGAACTGATGTTTCTCGGTAATATCATGCCTTTCATATGACTCATAAATACATTTCCAGAGGAGCGGCAGGAAAAGAAAGCCGCAGACAGAGATAGATGTGGTCAGCTGTTTAAGCCTGACTGCGGTTTAATATTCCTCTCTGGCGGTGACAAAAGCCCAGCGTGCACCAGACTGAATCATCATCCGCATCTCATTCTGTCTGTGTGTGTGTGTGTGTGTGTGTGCATCCCTGCCGGATTTAAATCAAAACTCAATATGTAAAAAAGCATCCCCTGTAGCGGTTTACTTTTTTCATATTGTTGTCCTGAGTCCATCTGTATTACATAAAGCTTTTCAGCTGATCACATCTCTTGAAGAGTCGTATATTTCAGTCGGTAAACCAACGATATTTTGAAAGACGTCAGCACTGGAATCATAAGACAAGCCTACACGGTGATGAATGAACTGACCAGTGTCGTTTCAGCAAAGAAGGTGCTCGAAATAAAATCACAGCAGAACCACTTTACGCTAGAACATGAAGAAGGTTTGGCACAAAGAGCGGGACGTTGAAACACTTGTAGGTCTACCTGAGAAAATGTGTCACAAATAAAAGTGTAACATGTAGAATTTTATGACAATGTTTACATTAAAATATCAAATTCATAAGTAATTTACTAAACCTTGTTGTAATTGTTTTCTGTTGAGTACTTACTTAACCTCAAATACTTCGAACAGTTATCAAAGCCAGAGAAATCCGTAACAGTTGTAACGAGACGTGTCTTGGTGTGGCGGCCACCATGACAGACATGACATGTTTATCGTTGCCATGGAAAAATCAGATGTTACATCAATGGCCGCTGCACAAGGAAGCGTGTGCTGCTACTGAAAGCTGCCGTTCTGTTGTTGTGATAAAAACGTCATGTAAATTATACTCGGATACATTAGCTCGTCTGTAAACATATTCTCTTCCTCAGGTCGGTTTCACCTGGTCGTCATGACTACGGTCAACACAGGGTTCGTTTTCAGTGGGGGGCCAGGCTCGACGTCATCTTTTGTTATATTTTTAATTGAGAGCCACGTTCCCTTTTGCACACTGAGGTTTGTATGAGATTCAATGTCCGCATGTTAACTCTTCATCATTCTTACCAGTGGGCTGAAAAACAGGCCACAGCAGTAATCTCTCCTATGTTACTAGTTGTCTTCTACAGTAGCGGCCATGAATTGGATTGAGGGCATATTTATACACGCACAGTGTTAGGATGAGGCTGGAGATACTCTCTGTTTTCAACAAATCCTACACACTCACACACATACATTCCTTACAAATACATCAAACAGGTCACGAATACATAGTTTACTGAAAAGGCTCAACGACTTCCCAAAACAGCTCTGTACTTCCTGGAAAAAAATATTATAGAAGCAGAAAAGGTTTTATTTTGGGGACTATTTTCAGAGATTAATACACATTGTCTGATCCGGTGTGTATCAGGGAAACAGGAGGGTATTTGTGGGATTAGGTCAAAATAAATACCTCGTCCGTGTTCAAGGTAATGAAAGAACACGTCACCCAGGCTGCCAGGGGGAAATAAACAGGAATTTCCAGTGTTTCCAAAAAGTGATCATGTTTTGCCAAATATGGAGCACGTGTGATGAATTCAAATTTACATGTGAACCACACTTTGTGCTTTAAAAATGTCCCAACACTACCCCCGTTGTAAAGACTTTGTGTTACATCTCCAAACATATTTGTTCCAAAAATACATGAAATTCATTTTTTTTTGTTGCAATTGTGACATTTGTATGGTTTTGCTGCAGAGGTAGGTGCTGCAGTGGGGATCAAATCTATAAAGCTTTTTCAGAAAATACTTGATAAGTCTTGATTCAAAGAAAAATCCTGGATGGGTTAATTGCAAGCGCCAAACTCTGATGTTGAAAAATGAAACCAATGCAAGTGTGGAAAAGCAACCTGCAGATCCTCGAGTGTCCACTTGGGGGGGCAGGCTCCAAAAATCAAAGAATCCCAGTTAGGTCCCATATTTTTAAAAAAACCCAACATTTTCAAGTTGAAATCAAAGTTGTTGCAGATACCCTGTCCTCTGATTGGTTTTTCATGTTTTGTTTTGTTAGACTTGGGACATTCCCGGGCAGGGAGCTGGTGTGTTTCCTCCAGACAATGACAGCGCACAGGTGAGTTGGGAGAGGATACAATTCAACGATTGGATTCAGACATATGACCGACACGGCCGAAGCGGCAAACAAAAGAAAAAGTAATCACAGTGAGGCAAAACACCAAGCAGATAAAGTTCGTTCCAAAACCAGGGTGACCCTTGGGTCAGCTTTTACCTGAAGAGATGGACTGCTTTCTGTTGGACAGGCAGTTGCCAAACACCTGTGGTAAGCTAAGTGCCCTAGCGTGCTAAATTATTGGCTTTTTCTTTTCCAACAAATGTAATATTCTCAGTTGGCTCTCAGTGTAGGTAAAAGCAGTAAACGTACACCCAAAGTCCTGCAGAGGGCGAGCACTTTTGGTGACGATAAGCCCAGGAGGAGGAGCCCAGTTTGAATGTTGTGTTTACAAGCTGCAACGGAAATTTCTCCTGACTCTACCTTTAAAATTTAGATTCATGCATACACTTGGGAGCATGCCTGAGTTCACTGACAGGTGAAGTCATCATTGCTGTTGGTGTGTGTTTTTGTCTTATGATTTACCTGGACTTTACTCACTTGTCACCTGCAATCAGCTCATCACCTGTTCAGCCAGCACGCCTGTCATATATCAGCTCATCAGTTCTCAAACATATCAGCACGGTGAATTGTAGCATGGTGTTCCTCCCTCTTCACACTCCATGCCTCCCACGCTCAGTTTGCAACTTGCCTGTTGGTCTCCTGTGCTTCAGGATCCCAGCCTGCCTGTCTCATAGCCTGCCTGCAACTCTCTCCACCTTACCTTTGTCAACCGGTTCCCTTTATGACATCACAAAAGGACAGTAGCCCCTCCCCCAGGTGGGTGACACTCCCACAGCTAGGTGTTTGTTCTGTCCTCTGAGTCTGCCTTCTCACCGCAAACAAAAGGACATCGAGCAAGAAAGCCAGAGACACCCAAGACCTTCCAGAGAGGGGGCGTGGTCAGACACAGCTCATTTACATATTTAAAGGTACAGACACAAAAACAGCTTGTTCTGAGCAGGGCTGAAATAGAGGGGTTTATAGACATGATCAAATACAGGATCAGAGTGGATTTAGAACAAGAAACGTCACACGCATGTTTTGGGGAGCTCTGAGACTTATTTAAACTGGTTGATGAGGAGGAGGATGTAACCTTTAATGACCCACAGATGGTAAGTAATCATGTTTTAACCTCGCCCAACTCTGATCATCTTAAGTCGGTTTGGTTTCTCTGTATCTCAGGAACAACCTCCTAATAACAACTGAAGGTTTTCAATCTAAATATAGAGGCAGTGCGACATCATATCTACTAAGACACCATCACTCTTACTTTCCTTCTCATCATGATTCAAGCCCTGCAAATATTGTCATATTTAGATCTCTTGGCTGCCCTTGTCATAAAGTTTTGGCGCCTGAGACAGTGAGCAGTGAACCTGTCATCTTCCATTCATTACCATGACAAGTGACAGACTGCGCTGAGGATCATTCAAATCCATGCAGACCCACTAAATCTCAATAAAGTGGAACGTCAATCTGGCTGGGGCTCTGCCGAGCAGTTTTCACGTCTGGGTTTGTCCCCCTAGAACAAGAACAAGCTGTTAGACTGACACAACACACACTCCTCTAACTGCTATTGATTATTCCACCCGCCCATTTCAACAACCCCGTCTTAATTCTCTTTCTATCTGCGTTGCCGTCCTCTCACACAGTCTTCCTCATTGCAAAACCCCACATTTCAATTAGTGGATTATCAGCTGTGGAGCCTCGTTGTCCCCCTGAATCAGGCTTTTTCTTCGGCTGCTTCGTTCCTGTTGTAGATGAGCACACAGAGACAGAGAACAGATATAGCATGGCTTTGGTTTATAGAGTGTTTGGCAAAGAAAAGGACGAAGGTGCGAGTTCATTATTCAGACATACAATTTCTCTCTCCCACCTGCAACAGGCTCACCATCAGGGGAAATATCTTGATAGGACGATAAAGAAAACAGAGACAGGGAATATGTTCAGTAGCGCTTTGGAGAGGCGCCAATTGGAATTTGCTGCAAACACAATCTGGAGATCCACTGGGCTGTAAATTGGCTTTGTATAATGTCAGTGTGTGTGCTTGTGCATGCTGGTGTGTGGGAGTGTCAGATAGCGGATAGGGACATTTGGGAACTGTAGCCTGGAGCTTTAAGTCTGTTATCCAAACAAAAATATACACCGCTTTCAAATGCTAGTTATTTGTGCAGATTCAGACTAATTAGACATGACTTGCATCCAAAATGGATTTTTCATAAATGTGTGTTTTTATTATGCAAGGCAAAGCAAACAAAGATACCTAAATCAGTAAAACTAAAAAAAAAAAAAAAAAAAAAATTCTTGTATGTTCCACTTGAAAGAAACGGGAACAGTTCATCAAACGTGCAGACTTCAGCCAAAATAAATCCAGTGAGAGTTGATGTTTAAAGTTGCTGGTAGTTTTATATGTAGTGGCTCCAATGACCCGAGGTCGATGGCGATAAGTGCTGTGACCCGTCTTCCTCCCAGTTGCGCTCTGCACACTCACTTACAGACCTCTACCTGTGGAGGGCATACACAAAATGAATTACAAATAAAATGCAAATAACAAACTATAATGCGGCTCCTACACCAATAGTACAACAACTTTTAACAGGGAGAATTGAGTCAATCCCAAAGAATGGTTCTCTTGCGAGAAGTACATGCAGCACTAGTTCACACACACAAGAATTTAGCCAGAAAGAAGCTAATTAGCTCTCCTCTGTACTGTTTGATAAATTTGCTGAGGCTAAGACACGGTAATGTGAGAGTTACCGAGCAAGAAGCCGGACTAGAGTAAATATTTGACCTTGGCAGTCGGCAGAGTTCTTTGGTCTCAAACTACATCTTTGCTGGTGTTCTGTTGAGATGCCTTATCTGAAATAGCAACCATAGCGCACTTTTTTTTCTTCATGTTACGGTGGTCAACTGTGTGTATCCTTGCACCAACTGTGTAAGCTACATTGGTACAACAACTTATTGTATTGTAACAATAGCAGAGGCCATCTGTTTCCACTTCCAATCACTTTAATAAAGCACTACTCGATGATGGATTTGCACAGGAAGGAAATGGGATGCATGTTTTCATACTGTATAAACCTTTTCTTTTTAGGTGTAAGCAGAAGCTATTCTTGATAGTTAAGATGACCATCTTCACCAGCCTCTGCTTTTGAACAGACGAACGTTACTGATGAAGGGAAGGGGGAAAAGCCTTATGTGTGTTTTACTACAGTGAATATGGACTCAGAGACCCTCAGTGGGCACCATAATGTTGCTTTAAGTACCCTGGGTTGCATATCTATGAAGAATAAAAGGGTTTAGGTTCACCTTCAGTCCCAAGGGCCGGTCTCAGTACATTAACCTTCCCCAATAGGGGCACGGGGATGTCAACTAACAGGTTTACTTGTTTAACCTTTATTAGCCAACAAGAAAGTCAATAAGACACTAGCAGCTTTATTTCTGCGCAGCGCACTACGGATCCGATAGCCCCCTCTCTCGTCAATGATGTGTATCCTCAGGCCCAGCGCGAACCAGCAGCACCCCTCCATTCGGCTCCATTTCAAATACTAGCCGATGCTTTTTTCAGCAGAGCTCACATCAAGCTGAAAAGAGTAGATCAAACCAGACAGAAAGTCAGACAAGGGAATGCACTGAGCACAACACAATATACAGAATCCTGATTGCTAACCCATCACTTTATCAACATTACGTCAAAACAGACACCAAATAAACAGCTAATCAGCCTTGCAAAGACAAAGCAGCATGTTGTTTGCTCTCTCTTTATTCCCACCTGATCTTGAAGTTCTGTGATCTTGTATAGCTTCTGATGGCTGTGCTCACACTTTCAGACATGGATCCAGTGGAGTAGGGTGTCCACTGTAGGACAGAGCAAAAATTGATTGAACGCAGAGCCACAGACTACCTAGAAATGAGGGGTTATTTGGATGCAGCAGACCAACCTTTTTACGGTGTGCTTTCCTGTACAGACTAATACATCATGTATAGACTCACCAATGTGCAAGAAGAAGAACTCCTATAGTCAAGACCTATAGGCCATGAAAGAAGCGGAACACCAGAGACAGCTGCTACAAATGAGCTGGCAGGGCTATGACCTCCCTTTCTCAAAACATTTTTAATGAGAAAATTATTCTTCAAAGAACTTACAACAGTCGGCTTACTTCTTTCCAGCTCATGCACTGCATCCTCTTCTAATCACTTCCGCAGTGCAAATGAGTAACAGGTTTCATGGCACCCTTGATTTGCTGATCATTTTGGGCTAAATGATTTGGCAAACAGGCCACAGGCTGACTGATGACAACTGTAGGTCGAGACTGTAGAGATGCTAAAAAGACGTAGCTTAGCATCTCTTCACTAAAGAAACAACGGACCAGCCACTACTTAAAAGCAGACAGTGTCACTGACACATCCATCTTCTCAGACCCTGGGTGAGCTGGAAAACCAAATCCAACCGACTGTGAAACCGTTTTTTTCCTCAGATTGGGTTGAACAATCTGCTGGTTATGCACATCCTCTTTGGTAGACAGAATTATAACTTTTTTTCCCTCAGTGATTTTTTTTTGTTCTTCGAAAAGCATTGGTGACTTCTCATGCAGCAGAGTGCGTCACAACAAATGTCTCAAAGGAAAGATTGTCCAGAGTTATTGCATTTAAACCATCATTGCATCTCACCCCCCCCCTGCATGTTGGCAGGCCTTTTTATCTTGTTGTGCTTGTGGCGGTTTGGAGCGACTATAAAGTCCTTTACCCTCAGAGGTGACAGATCATAAGAACTAGCCTCGAGCCAAGCACAGCTTTAACTTAGCTCCCGTATGCCCGTTCATCCAGAACTTTGATGAATCTAGCTGAGGATACGTTCAAACCCACATGAGCATCCAATAAAAAGAAGTTGTATATATCATTGTCTTGTGCAAGTAGCGAAACCACTCGTGCAATATCTCCCAACCGATTTTTGTTTATGGGGCACTTGATACAACAATGAATGGACCTATGTTGGCGGTTGAACCTGTTAGCCAGGAGGCTTAAGATGGCCTCACCTCTGCTGTACTGGTTGACCAAAAGTGATTATGAGACAGCCTTTCCAGTAGACCTGAAGCCCATCAACCTAAAGCTCTTCTTCAGAAACCAATGAGTGACATCACTGCAGAGGACGTCCATGGATTATCCAGTTTACGTTGCAGCTTTTTACCTGGATGCTTTAGGCCCTCATCTGCACCATCTCTTTACCTAGTTCTAATTGGACATAAGTTAAGTAGAGGTCGCTTTTCCAATATAGCGGCCGTCGTCATTGGGACATCATTTTAGAAACCAATGGGTGATGTCACTGAGACTACATCCATGTTTTATGCTGTCTATGTGTAGAACTGGCACAAGAAGAACGTGGCTAACCAATCACAAGCATAGCCGGCCTAAAGTTATCCATTTAAATATGTTGCTGTACATTAGCATGCTACGTGTTGTGTAAAAATAGCAATCAGAAACTCTATCTTACAAGTCAATTTAGAGGAATCATACAAAGCTGCAGGGGATGTTGGAATCTAAATGCAGCACACAAAACCTTTTGCAGATAATTATTTTAACTCAAGGTCTTTCCCTGATACAGCCACACAGGGAAATATCGGCATAGTCCAGTTGAATCTTAAGGCTAGAAGGCGTAACAGTCTAGGTGCTCAGACTGCTTCGATCTAATCTGGAGACAGACGAGTGAGGCCCAGAGGCAACAGAACAAATTCTCACACTAAAGTTCAACACAGTGTAACGGTACCGTGGGGCAGCAGACCGAGGATGCAGTCAAGGAGATAGCTGGTTCACTCCCCAGGAAAGGAGTCCGTAGTAAACACTAAATCCAACAGGGGACAGGAGGAAGACAGAACAGAAGCAAGCAGAGGGCCAATGAGCAAGCAGGTAGATACCCACAGAAGCAGTCACTGAACAACAGAGGAACATAGGAACACTTAAAAACTCACACTGTTGGATCGACGCAAGGAAATGTCAAGCGGCCAAGGAGAGGAGCAGACAGGATCCAAGGACACAGAGGCAGAACTCGAGGTCAGGAACAGAAGGCTGAAGCATTTACCAGGAGAGTGTGCACCTGCTAATCAATCCAAGGAAGAAGGCTGTAAAGTCTTGCATAAAGCTAAAGAACAATCTGGCAGTCTGAGTGAACAGGAGAGGGTTTGATACTGGCTTGCTTGATTGCAGATGAGAGGCAGCTGGGTGCACAGGTGAGCTGATTTGGCTGATGAGGTGGGCGTGGCAGGCAGGCAGAGTGGAGCAGAGGCAAGGTGAGTGAGCAGAGGAGCACAACTACTGTGACGCAAGTATTTCCATAACTTAGACTGAACCTCGATGTCCTCCCTAAACCCTGAGCCCATACAAAATGTAATGACATCACCTGGAAAGTTACTGAGTGCTCGAGTCTGCAAGGGCTCAAAATGGTTTGTACCAATCAGACAGCACTTTGCAACTTCACCGTAACCATGACAGCACAATGTGGCATTAGGTATTATAGATATAAAAACTCCTCAAAAAAAGTGTGAAAACGTTATTTTGGTAAACTATTTTGCCCCTTTAATAATACTAATTGGTGTTGTATTATATATCGTTGGAAAGCCTGAATACGAAGAGGTATAACTTGTAAGGATCGTACATTCTTGGAATGAGCAACGCAGCTAGACATGCGGTTAGAGCCCCAAAGAAATGTGCCAAAATCCTACCTTTTTGGTAGCTAGAGCGTGGTTTTCACCTTCCTGCTTGTTAACCGTCTCTCCCTTTTTTCGTTCCATTCTTGTGGCTTCACCTGGGAATCATATGTTTCACATCATGATGCTATGAACTATGGGTAATTCCCTCACGGCCAGTCTGCAGCTATGCCCACTTACGGACAGGGTGCATGAAGGGCTCGAAAAGTCAAGCAAGAGATCCCTCACACACTTAACGACTCGACAGTGGGATAGTCCTGAGCCCTCGCAGACTTCAGTCAGCGAGTGTGTGAGGGTGGACATCGAGATTGTTCCGTAGACTTACCTGTGCTCAGCTCTCCATCAGGCTGCTGCTCTGAGGTGTCAGGAAAGCCTTAATGCTTTATCCAGCCACTGTAGTTCTACATCTGCCTACAATGTTCCACTTTTAAGTGCCACTGGGTGATTACTGTTCATTCTAATGAAAGTGCAGCAATTAGAAATAGCATTCCTGATGTCTGTTTTTTGGTTTTTTTGCAGTTGATGACATTTCAAATGACATTAGTAATATAGAATGTGCACCTGCATTTCCTAGAAATTTGGCACATCATACAAAATGTAAATAAAAACAGAATTGAATGATTTGAATTTTTTTTTTTTATATTTAAATGAAAATCACCAAGACAGATTATAAATGCTCATTTTGAATTTGACAAAAACAATTAAAAAAAGATGGGACAATGATAAAAATCTTTATTAGTTTGCACAGATGATAAGAAAATATACAATTGGCATAAGAGTTGACATTGTACTGTGGTCATCTTTTGTAAACCCCATTCCTGCCTTCTCCCGCCCATCCCAGTTAACCCCATACCCACCCACCGAGACAGGAATCCTATTCCTCTACCATCAGTGTGTGAATGTGTAGGTGTGACCTGCAGTGTAAAAGCACTTTGAGTAGTCAGAAGACTAGAAAATAAATATACAACCTCAAGTCCATTTACCATTTACAAATCATATTAGCCTGTGTGTAACCCTCCCTCTCTATTTATTGAGATATTTACACGGTTCTTAAGGCATCGCTTCAAGGCTAAGGAGTCGTTCTTATGTAGCAGCTAATGGAACCTAAGCGATCCTTTAAAGAGTCAACCAGTCTGTAAAAAAAAAGAGTCGCACTGCCCGTCACATTCATCAGCATCGGATGTGGAAACTTGAATCCTCCAAACCGCTCGGACTACTAATAGAGTCAGAGAGAGAATCATAACTTAGAAAATCCCTGTCCTCTCACTTCGGAGAATAGAACAGAAACTCAATTCTGTTTTTACTTCCCCTTTAATAATGCATGAAAGCGAATAGATTCATTCTCCTCCTCTGTTCAATATTTAAGTGCACACGGCTACCCCTGATCCGCAGTGAATCTGTGCTGCTTCCCGTACCTCCTCCTCCTGTAAGTGTCCCAATATCTCTCTCTGTGGCTTCTCTGACACCGTCTGAGGCAGAGGAGTAATACTGTATAGATTAGCTAGTGAAAGGAACACATATATCAGGGTGTGCTGGGCCAGCGGATAATTTCCTCAAGCAGTGGTATTGAAGATCAGCCGGCAAGAGTTTAAAGGAGAGACATAGGCTGCGGAATTGAACCCCTCATTACAGCTGATCACGTATCTACAGTATCTAATATTTCACTCTCTCTATCATATGCAGCCGGTCTTTATGCACAAGGTGGATTGGTTTTTCGTTGCAAAATTCCCCCTCTTCATTAGAAATTAAAGGGATAGTTCACCCGTTGAAACATGAATCTTTATTGACATTGGGTCATATGTAGAAATGTGAAATACATTTTGAAGTTGGTGCCTTCCAGCAGTCCCGGTGGCCCTGGCAGCAGCAGCAGCAGCCAAAACACAAGACCGGCCTGTCGGCAGCAGCCGTCTCGTTGCAATATTTATATTTTTTTGCTATTATCATTTTTCTCCATAGAGCCTGTTAGCTTAGCTTCCAAGCAATATGACGGACATTAAGTTTCGATTCTGGGAGTGAGTTCCCACCCACTGATCTGTGATTGGTCTGTAGCTTCAGTGGTCGAAAATATGAGGAACTAGCGTTGAAGTTTCACCCCGCTAACCGCAACCGCTTCCAATGACGCAAAATATCGATTATTGCGTCACTGGAAGCTCCTTCAGACTCAGAAATACAAAGATTTCTCATCTCAGGGGAAAATGAGGGCGGGATGCACGAGCATTCAAAAACACTACCAGGTTTCTAATGATACAAAGATTAATGCAAATGGGTGAAGTATCCTTGCATCACTTTTCATTTCCACAGTGCTTCCGTGACCAGAGTTTGAAACTTTGTGTTCAGATCAGATAAAAGTTGTGAACCGTTTTGGGTTAAAAATGGGAAGATTGTGTATCAGAGCAGAAGTGAGATAATAGCGAGTAGTCAGTGAACAGAATAATAAAAATATAGAAGATAGATAAGATTATCTGAAAATGTTCCCATCAATGGGCTTTCAAGGACAATTTCCCTATGTGGTAATGATTTCTGCAGCTGAGAAAGAAAAACACCACTCACAGAAGAGCTGTTGTCAAACTTTCATAATGCAAACACAGTCATGATGCTAGAAGCCGAGTAGGAGCGAAGACTGAGGCATGCAGTGTTTGAATGAGGGGAATTGAAGGATGAAACTCTTTGTGGTCGTTGGAGTACGTGCACGAGGATCCTGAGAAATGTGAGTCCTCGTAAAGTACAGACATGACAAAAGGGTGCTCTGAAGAGCTTCTCAGAACACATCTTTAAGGGCTGTTCATAGAGGAAGTTCATCATGTTTTAAAGGCCATGGACTAACATGAGACGGGTTTAAAAAAAGGAAGTGTCAAATCAAAATGCTTGTGCTCAAGTGCTTTTACACTGCAGGTCACACCTACACATTCACACACTGATGGTAGAGGCTGCTGTGTTATGTCACCATCAGTATTAACTAATCCATGCGTCATACATTCAGTCACAAACTGGCTCAAAGTAAGTGACAAACAGCCCTTAGGGACATTATAAAGAAGGGCAGGTATGCTTTGGACTGGGGTGACCCCATTAGCCCCTAACTGAATTAGTGACATTTCCTCTTTCTTTCTTTTTCTCCCCTCCAAGGTAGGAGGAAAAGTAAGGGGGGTGGTAGATAAGAACATGTGACAAAAAGAGGAGACAAGGACCTTTAGTAGAGTTTTAGTCGTTTTAGTTTTTGTTTGTTTGTTTGTTTCGTTTTGTATTGTCTGTTTTTCTTGTTTTGTGTTGTTTTTTTCCTTTCTGTTTCTGATTTAATTTAATTTGTAATTTATTCTAATTATTCCTATTGTTACTGCTCTGAATGTCAGAGCACTAGGGTGTTAAATGATCTTTGTTATGGTGAAAAATGTTTAAAAAAAAGTAAGTGACAAAAGAAGTGTATCACACATGAAACAAGGTTTAAGGAAGTTAATTTATTATTAAGCTAAACTTAAAACAATCATCAATATGTAAATATGTCAAATCAGTCATGAAAGCAACGTATGGATGAGTGAAGTGATGTGAAGGGAAAACAAAAGCTAACCAGCTGGTGGAGGTCTGGGAGGAAGAGAAGCCACATAAATAAGTCGAGTCCTGATGGACTCAGGTGTACCCAGTTACCTCACGGCCTTCCTGACTCCGCCTACTGTCTGCCAAACCAGGAAGCCAAACAAACCGAACACATGCAGACAAGAGGGCAGGACGTTACACCATCAACGAAGCAGCGGGAGCAACTTGGGGTTAAGTGTCTTGGACGAGGACACATCGGACATGTGGCTGCAGGAGCTGGGGATCAAACCCCTGACCTTCCAGTTGAGAGAAGACCGACTCTACCACTACCATAATACAAATCAATTTAACAATCTTTATTTGTATAGTGCAAATTCACAACAAGTGTTATCTCGAGACACTTTACAAATGCAGTCTTGTCTTTTACTTCTCGCTTCCTGGCTCAAAAATGTTCATGATTTCAAGGATAAGACGTCTAAAAACAAATGACTGAATAGATAAACACAGTACTCTGAATATAACATCCACCTTGTTATGTGTTATTGTTATTGTGTTGTTATATGTACATGTGTTGTTGTCATGCCGACCACCAGCGGGTGAAGGTCACTTCAGCGATCCTACAGAAAAGCAAAGCAGTAAAAAACGTGTGGACTTTCTCAGACAAGTGAACAAGAAGGCGGTTTCTCCCTGGAAGCCCAGCGGACTGTTTGATCCAAAACGTCCTCATACATGATGCGATCTGGAAGAAGTGCTGATGAACCAATCACTCTGTAAATACCAGCACCGAATAAAAGCTAAAATGTATCCCATGGTTTTAATGATATAGCCGGTCTGGACTGTATCAGCACAGCACTACGGTGTGACGCAGTGTTAGACAAATAAAGGTCAAAATGAAAAAAGTGTATGTACTTTAGTTTCCTCCTCGTTGTGGCTGTGTGGCAATAATTAAGATTGTGTTTGTG